ACGCCGCTTGCGGCGGTCATATTCCACGCTAAATTGTACCGTGCTAGGTCTCGGGGGGCGCAGGGGTCAGCCCCGCGCGACCTCGGGAACTAGCCGGGGCAGTCGGAGAAGGGGCAACTCCGCGCACTGACGGTCGGCCGTCAGAAAACACGCCTCCGTGGCTCGGGTTACACCAATCCTAGCTACCCAACGCGGCCAATGGATATACACCTCGAGAACCTCGAGAGGCGGTGCTTGTTCGTCTTGGGCCCGTTGTGTTTTTGGATGGAGTGGGGAGATCTTACTCTGAGGGCGGCGGCGGGATGGGAAGAGCAAGGAAGGGCGTGGCGCTGGAAGGGACGACGCACTCGCACACAGATTTCACTGCCAGGGGGCGGTGAGGGGCGATTGCGAGGAGAGGTGCTGGAAAGAGTCTCGGCGAAACAGGCGCCCCCCCTTCCCCCCTCCCCCGCAAACAGCTGCGACGTGAGGAGTCCCATCTCGGCTACTCTCGGGTGATCAGGCGCGCCTCCCCGGCGAACAGCCGCGAGTTGATGTGGCGCTCCGTCGCCCAGATGACATACCGCGCCTGCGGGGAGCACGGCGCCGCCGAACGTCGCTGGTGGTGCCGCGGGGCGGCGGCCGTGCGGCGGCGCGGCGCGCGTGCAGCCCGATCAGCAGCCGGATGGGCATCGGTCCATGGAAGTACTCGCCTGGGAGTACGGCAGGGGAGGAGGCGTGGGCGTGTCACGGACGCGCCGTGGGCGTCGTGGGCGCGGCACGGCACAGAGGCGGGCGGCCGCGTCGGTGTGTGCTCGGTGTGTGCTCGTCGTGGGAAGCTCTTCGTGTGATGCTCTTCTGTGGGAGGGCTGGGCAATCTCTCTCGACCGCCCATGGGCTGCCTCGGCTGCTTGTCGGCTACCTGTCGGCTCCTGTGCTCGCTCCGTCTCGTGCATCACCTCGACTGCATCTCGGCTCTATCTCGACTGCATCTCGGCTCTATCTCGACTGCATCTCGGCTACGTCTCGTCTCCACGTCGCGCACAGCACGCGGGGGAGGAGAGGAGGAGATGGAGGAGGTGCGGTGGTGGTGGCGAAGTGGGTGGCAGAGGAGGCGGCGGCGATTCGGAAAGGGGGGGGGGGGGGGGAGGGCCAAAGGGCACCTCGGTGGAAGACCTCGACAGTCTCGTCCTCGCGACGCTTGTACCTGGTTGGAGAGGCGCCCTCGGGCCGGGGGTGAGCCAACCCGCGGCCCAAGGTGTGCTGTTGAGGGGAGGGGGAGGGGGACCGGGAAAAGGAAAGGGGGGGGGGGGGGGGGAAAAAAAAACTTTGCGGAAAAAATCCGGGATTAACTAAAAAAGGGGGCAACTAAAAAAAAAAAAGGGGCAAAAACCTCAAGGGGAAGCCTGAAAAATAACCCCCCCCAAAGGGGGTGTGAGGGGGGCCCCGGCCCCCCGAAACCCGTGGGAAAAAGAAAAAAAAAAGGGGGGGGGGCGGCCGCCCTTCATGGGCCAGGGGGGAAGCCCCCAG